CGCTGACCCTTGGTGGGGATCAGCTAGAAGTCGTTCAAAAATTCAACTACCTGGGAAGTTGTATCAGCGTCCGTGGGATTGAGGATGAGATCACGAACCGTATAGCAAAAGCTCGGGGCGCTTTTGCTAACCTTCGCCACTTATTGCGCCGGCGCGACATCACGTAATGTTTGGGTGTGATTAATTCAGTCGCGATTTCGATGAAACCCGAGTTGCTTCTCGCGAATCTGGCTTTCACGGGTACCAATCAGTCTATGAAGAACGACCTAGGCAAGCAACTTGTATGCAGTTGAAATTAAACTGACCCGTCTGGGATCGCCGTATTCTGAACTTGAGCTTCCATTGTAAATTGGATTATCTCGGAGCGGCTCCATTCTGATGACAGTTTCCTGCTCCCTCGGCTTCACTAATAGATTGTACGAATTATCCACAAGAGCAGGTCCCCCGTTTGAAGTGGTTTCAAAGAAGTCTATGTTCTACTGCGGCTTTATTCAATTTCAACAGTCTGATCTCACGGGCAACTTCTGTGCCTGAAGGTGGATCCAAAGGGACAGTCCAGGGAGAAGAGCTACCACTCGCCGATATAGAAGCTGCTTATTGACTAACTAACCTACCTGTCAAATTGTTCGGCCCAACGCTCTGAACCATTTTACGAGTTGTGGATTGGCTGTCCACTTCCGTCGCAAAAGAAAGAGTACGCACAGAAGGAAATACTTGTCCCCGGGGTTCTGACCTTAACTTGTCGATCCAAGTCATGGAGATTGCATTTACATGACACGACTTAGAAGGTGTGGAGCTACTCCCAGGAGATCGACTTCTTGACTTGGAGTATGCAGACGACATCACCCTCATTTGTGACAGCTCCCAGACGTGTCAAACTGCAATGGACAGATTAGCACCGGCTGTCAGTCGCTCCAGGCTTTGCTTTGCATTATCGAAGTGCAAGGCGTTCCTCCAAGATTGGCAGGGATCGCCTCGTGCGCTGACCTTTGGTGCGAATCAGCTAGAAGTCGTTCAGAAATTCAATTACCTGGGAAGTTGTATCAGCGCCCTTGGGATCGAAGACGGGATCACGAACCGTATAGCGAAAGCTCGAGGTGCTTTTGCTAGTCATCGCCACCTATGGCGGCGGCGCGACATTAATCTCGCGCTGAAGGGTAGAGTGTACAATGCAGCGGTACGTTCGACCCTACTGTACGGTTGTGAAACCTGGCCCTTAGATCGGCAGACATGAAGCGGCTTGTTACGTTCGACCATCGGTGCCTTCGCAGTTTGGCTCCCATCTGGTGGGAACATCGCGTGAGTAAGGAGCGTGTTCGACGCATTGTTTACGGCCCAGTTAAAGGCACTGAACCGCTCAGCACCGTTATTTCCCGCACCAGGCTCCGATGGCTCGGCCACGTGTTACGCATGCCAGCCCACCGACTCCCTCGATGTGCGTTGTTTGCTCACCGGGGAGGTGGGTGGAAGAAGAGGAGGGGTGGCCAAGCGATGACTTGGTCCAGGGGAATGAAGTCCCACTTCGGAGCTAGCTTCGTTTGGAGCATCACAGCTCCCTGGTTGAGGTCCAAAAGACGGTGAACACGTTTGGCTGGATACACTTGCTGACATGGCAAGAAGCTGACCTCAGTGGCGTTCCTGCTGTGAGTTTCTTTGTCCCTCTCCATCCCTTTTAATCTTCCACTCCATCTACGATCTCATTTCGTAGGGTAAAACATAATAAATTGTTTTTCTTTTTCCTAATAGCTGGCTGGTAGCTTACCGGAACGATGCCTATCCGTTGCTGGTTGCTCAGCTGGTATGCAACTGTTGTATCTATTTTTCCTTTGTGTATTGTATTATATGTATATACATATGTATTTCCTTCATGTATTACGGCACAATAGCGGAGCTGTTTTCCTACCTCTATCTGACGCGTATAATGATGATGAATGAGCCGGCTGGTAGCTTTCCGGAACGATGCCTACCCGTTGATGGTAGCTCAACTGGCATGTAGATGGGATGAAACGTCCCATGCGCCTTGACCAGATGGTTCGAATTGATAAGGTGTGCAGATACCACATCAATTGCCACTGATCCAGTCATGACACTACATAACCAAGCCAAACAATACTCCGTGGCTCTAACACACAGCCTCCTGGAGGCCCTTACGATATATCTCGATCGACATGAGAAAGACAAAGAGGACGCACAGAAGAAAATACTTGACCATGGAGTGCTGTCCTTAAGTCGTTGATCCAGGGTCGGCACTGAGTTGAATTCTAACCATAAGATTGTTGCGTACTAGGTTTGATCGATGGCGTTAGAAAGTCTTCTAGATCTCGATTCAGCCATCCCGTCCCCCTTGAACGGTAACGATAAGTAGACCAGCTTCTTTCCTACTGAAACCACTTTAGATTCTCGATGCTCTATATTTCTCCAAACCAGCTAATTCGGATAGCTATTTCTCTCGAACAGCCTTCGAATGGAGCTTAACTCGTCCGGTAGCGTGTCCTCATTACATCTGATCCTTGCTCGCTCGGTCAGGCACCCAACAAGTTTGTATTTCTGGCTGAGTGGAACCAAGCTGGCAAAATGAATATATTACCCGTTCCGTGTTGTCTTTCTCAAAACATTCAGCTGGATAGACCATCAGCTCTTCGGCTCATTTGAAGGTTATTGCATTCAGATTCCAGGGGGAGCTTTTTGTCAATGTGTGTTGTTACTTCGCCTCACTGATTCTTCTGTGCAGGAATGTCTGTCTGTGATGCAGAATATATCGTCCATGTTGTGGTGCAGCTGATTGTACGGCTAACCTACTGCTACCATGCAGCTGACCATTGCCGGAAGTCTGTTGTGGCTTCTGCTGACTATACGGATAGCCTGCCTGAAGCTGCTGTGCCGCCCCCAACCAGTTCAGCCGGCCACGAAATGAGAACACCAAGACCAGCCGGTACGAGGGATCCGGGTTCTGATTCCGATTGTATGAGAGCATGGTGCAATAAATAGGTTGTAGGAAACCACTAACACAACAAAATTGGAGCTGCTAATTAATCTTAACAAACACAACTCAAACGGTTCAAGTTCATGGTCCGAATTGCCGTTGATTCCTCATAGATTCGCATTTTGATCTATATTCGCGTTCGATCTCTAAATGTGGATCGATCCACTGTTGCTGCACTGCTCTCGGCCTGAACGCTGACTCTCCTTAACAGTGCACGTGGTATCCATAGTAGAATAAATTATTGGTAGTCGTTCGCTGATGAGTCTCACTACATGTTGGGAAAACATTTCTTTCTGGAGTCGACGAGGTTAAAGTATCTTTGAGACTGTGTTTTGATAAAACTTCTTTAACCGGTTCTAGAAGTTTAGCGAGCCATTTCGATGTTGTGTGATATGGAGTACCACAGATATCTAGTACTGGACTCAGTGGAATTCCTTCGTTTAGCCATAAGGACTTTGAATCATTGTCCCGGAGGGGCGCGTGTTCTGATCATCATTATACAGGTTGGCTGCAGGTGGCAAACACAACTGTTGTGCCGCAATATAAAAGGCAATAAGAAAAATACAAGCGATCCACGCCGGTTGAGTCCCCAGTAACGTGTGAGCATCGTCCCGGAGAGCTAACAGCCCACTGTCATGCCACATAAAGAGAGCTATATTACGCTAACAAATGAGTTCGTGATTGGAGGGAGAGGGTAAGCGGTAGGGGGATGGAAAAAGGAACGCACAACACAAGCAACAATGGGGCCGGCTCATAGCCATATCAGCAAGTATGTTCAACCGAACGTCTTCATCGTCCTTGTTACTCTAGCCAGGTAGTCGGGATGCACCTACCGACGCCAACTTCGAAGTGAGGGTTTTCATCTCTCTCCACCAAGTCATCGCTTCGCCTCCCCTCCTCCTCCAACCCCTCACACCCAGCTCGCAAACAATACACGTCTCGGAAGTCGGTATGCTGGCATGCGCAACACGTGACCCAGCCATTGGAGCCTGGTGCGTGATATAATGGTGCTGTGCGGTTCACTAGCTCTTCCTGCACCATATACGCGACGCCGAACACACTTGTTGCTTACGCGATGCTTTCACCAGACATGAGCTAAGCTGCGTAGGTAGCGATGATCGAACGTGGCTAGCCTCTTTATGTCTGTCGACCTGGTATGTCGGGTTTCACAACCGTATATTAGGGTTGAACAGACGGCTGCATTATTCACTTCACCCTTCAGAGAGTGATGTCGCGTCTACATCACAGGTGGTGGAGAATGGCAAACGCACCTCGAACGTTTGCTCTACGGTTCGTAATCTTAGCTTTGAGCCCACGGGCGCTAATCTAGCTGCCCAGGTACTTGAATTTCCGAACGACTTCTAGCTGATCACCACTAGGGGTCAGCGCAGGAGTGGATCCCTGCCAATCTTGGAGAAGTACTTTGCATTTCGATGGAGCAAAGCATAATCCAAAACGATAGACAGCCAGTGCTAATCGGTTCAGTGCTGTTTGGCATGTTTGGGAGTTGTCACAGATTAGGGCAATGTCGTCCGCATACTTCAAGTCAAGAAGTCGCTCACCAGGGAGTAGCTCCACACCTTCTAGGTCGTGTCCAGCGAACGCTGTTTCTATGACTTCATCAATAGCGAAGTTGAAGAGGAAAGGTGACAGCGGGCAACTTTGTCCTACACCTCTGGATATATTGAAGCGCGGCGCCGATTTGCCATAAACGCTCACTCTGCCCGAACTATGCGCATACAGCACTTTGATAACGTTTACATATCGGGCACACCTTGAGAGTATTCATTTTCAGACTGGACTTCCAGTTCTAACTGACTGGTTTTACGGGGACGATGAAATTTCGGCCCGAGCGAAAGGACTTCAACTGGCTCATATCCAGACGTAAAGACGATACATTTTGGACAAAACTTTCTGGGCCAGATGCGAACTGGCTGTAGTTGCCTTAGCCGTACAGATTTGCTGCCCTAATGGGATTTGCGTCCATCAACTTGCTTTATGACTACACTTTGAACAAATGCTTCCAATCGCGTGAGTTCGTCCGCATCCAGATGGCCCAGCATACGTGACTAAAAGCACCGATTACCCTCCAAGTCATTAAGTCTTGATGCAACTATGTCACGCTTGGGTTCTGGATAGAAGAAAAGGAGAGGAAAAGTCCCCAACTTCGAACCTGGCGTCGGTATGTGTTTTGACTTCCGGACTGGGATCCGAAGGGCGATGAACTCGTTTGGTTAGTTACGCTAGCTGACTTGGCAACGAGCCGACCTCGGTGGCCTTTGTGTTGTGAGCCTCTTTATCCCTTCCCTCTCCTTTAGCTTCCTCCTCCAATCTCAATCTCAAACCCAATGTATAATGCGATTTAGCATTAGGTTGATTTTCTTAGCTTTCATAGTCAGTTGTGTTTAATCTCTTATTTCTTTGTATTGCGACTCATTAGTTGAGGTGTATTGATGATGATGGTGGTGGTGATGATGATGATGATGACGATGGCGGCGACGACGATGGGGATGACGATGGTGATGATGATGATGGAGAGAGACTAAACTGCTTTAATAGAAAAGACGGTTACAAAGCTGTTGCGCTGTTTAAAGCAAGAAAATGCGATTGACTCGGTCTTTGTCCAATACATGCCTCTCTGTGTGACATCAATTGCACGTCTTACCACTCCTCACCCAAACTGCATAAAAAAGATTTCCACTGAGTCGTCCAGTACTAGATATGTGTGATTCTCCATATCACTCAACATCGAAATGGCTCGCTAACCTTCTAGAACAGGTCAAAGCAGTCTTATCCAAACACAGCCTCAAAGATACTTTAACCTCGTAGACTCCGGAAAGAAATGTTTTCCCAACATGTAGGGTGACTCTTCAGCGTTGTTCCCCTAGAAGAGAAGATGGACTACCTATGTGATGTTCGGTCGCATCATGTGGATGTCGGCCTCTCGAACGACCGTCTTAATCAGTCACTTCTGTTGCGTACCAGGAACATACAATTCCCGTCTGACAAAAAAATCTGTAGACGGAAGGATGGATCTCGGTTAGGACCTTTGTTATGAGATTTATGAGTAAGTTGGAGAATAACAATCCGAACGGACTTATCAACAATTTATTCTACTATGGATGGTATGTGGACGATATGTTCTGCATCACAGATAGTCACTTCTGCACAGAAGAGTCAGTGAAGCGAAGTAATAGCCCACATTAACAATAAACTCACTCTGGAATCTGGGTGCAATAACCTTCAAATGAGCCGAAGAGCTGATGATCTATCCAGCTGAATGTTTTAAAAAGACAACACGGAACGGGTAATATATTCATTTTGCCAGCTTGGTTCCACTCAGCCAGAAATAAAAACTTGTTGGGTGCCTGACCGAGCGAGCAAGGATCAGATGTAATGAGGACACGCTACCGGACGAGTTAAGCTCCGTTCGAAGCCTGTTCGAGAGAAATAGCTATCCGAATTAGCTGGTTCCGAGAAATATAGAGCATCGAGAATCTAAAGTGGTTTCAGTAGGAAAGAAGCCGGTCTACTTATCGTTACCGTTCAAGGGGGACGGGATGGCTGAATCGAGATCTAAAAGGCTTTCTAATGCCATCGATCAAACCTAGTACGCAACAATCTTATGGTTAGAATTCAACTCAGTGCCGACCCTGGATCAACGACTTAAGGACAGCACCCCAAGGTCAAGTATTTTCTTCTGTGCGTCCTCTTTGTCTTTCTCATGTCGATCGAGATATATCGTAAGGGCCTCCAGGAGGCTGTGTGTTAGAGCCACGGAGTATTGTTTGGCTTGGTTATGTAGTGTCATGACTGGATCAGTGGCAATTGATGTGGTATCTGCACACCTTATCAATTCGAACCATCTGGTCAAGGCGCATGGGACGTTTCATCCCATCTATGGACCATTCACATGTCACACATAAGCGATTGGATGTCGTGTGCTGGCAGTGGCCGAGGCAATTGACATTAGATTTTCTGACCCTGACCTATGTGTGCATAAGAAATTTGTCCAGGCACTGCTTCCATCGTTGTCTCTGTAACACTGACACGTAATGTGGGCAACACCACATACACACACACACACACACACACACAGACTATTGATCGCCGCGAGGCAGATCGCCTAGCCTGCTCACCCAGACCACCTGCACTTTTCAACCGGTACCCTTATCTGATGCTTATATGCATGCCATTCATTTGTGATATATTAGCCTGATGAAGAACCACTGAAAACGAGTCGGATCACTTTTTATCAGATTTTATCTGCTTTGGTTCGAGTTTCAGTTACGGTCACTGGCATGGAACACGGATTGAATGATCTTTGTGAGCATGGGGTGGATTGCGGTTCTTGGCGATTTCAATCTAGACTTCTGAGCCACTGCACTACGGGTCTTCACTTGAATCCACTACGTTTACTGTTACCTTTTTAGAATACCCACCGATTGTTTGCGTCCGCTGTTTACCGATCGTGTATTTGATTACGGAACACCTTTCCGTATACACCCCATGCTTTTACTGACTGCGATGAAGCACCAGCATGTTTAAACATAGGTCGGCTAGTAAACGCCATCGTGGTTAGCCTTTTGAAATTGTTGGGACTTTTCCTGACGTGGCGTTATGTTCGATTTTTCACTTCTCTAAATTGTTTACACGTTTAGTTTGTTCACTTCATGGTTCTTATTGTTAATAATAATACGATTATTACTGTTATTATGACGACGCGGATCGTCTTAACGAGGTCCATCACTGTTCGGGCTTCGAACCTCGTTTTACCAGTAGAACGAAGGCTAGTTGTTATCTGGTTGGACGGAACTCTGTTCACTAATTAAACAGTGGATCCAGATTCAACTAGACCGGGGATTTTATGCCACTGTTTTACTACCAAGGCGCTTAGGATTCAATGGGCCATAAGCTACTATCCATATTTCAAAAAACGAAGTATTATCCTACTATTACCTTATAGTCACACTAATTCGGCCTCCGTCACTTCCACATACTATCCCTTTTTCAGCGCATCTATTCGCCTTTTAAACAAGCAGCGAATTCAATACAATCCTGGCGATTGTGTTGCCCTCTTGTGCCAAAATTCCGATATTGACGTTGAGTGGTTGCTGGCCCGTATCGATCCAGACCCCCTTCCCCACGTGAACTCTCCTTTCGTCCTCGAGTGCACCACGAAAAGGCTGGCTTCTTCATGCCTACCTGTAGGACAACCCGTCACTTTGCGTCTTCTGCTCACACACTTATTCGAATTGAACGTACCTGTGACGCGACGTATAACGCAAACACTTGCAGAATGCTGCCATCCGTCAAGTGAATTCGCCAAACGTCAGGCTACGCGATTGCTTCAGCTATCTAGCCGTGAGGGCACCGATTTATTCGAACGGTTAGTCACCATGATGTGCGGTCCTTGTCATCTTCTTGTTGAACCCATCTGCTTCTCCCGATAGTCATGTTTTCATCTTACCTGCCTCCTACTTCAAAAGAGATTCAACGTGAGCTCGCAGTGTTAAGACGTAACAAGACCCCTTGACCAGACGACCTTCCTCCTTCTTTGTTGAAAGATGTAGCTGACTCCGCAATGACTAGACTTGCCTCTATTTAACACGATTTGGTACACTGAAGCATTGCCTTCAGACTGACAACTGTTAACTGTCGTGCCCATCTTCAAGAAGGCTCGGCATACTTTGTGCGAAAATCATCGAACTATTTACCCTATTTCCTTTGCCTCCGAATCCTTAGCGGGTATCATTCGTTCTCTACACTGATTCTGATGTTAGCCGAATCATGGAAAGTTAGACTGTCTTTCGCCCTGGTCGTGGTTGTATCCCCCACATATTTACTCTTCGACAAGTGTTAGAACAAAGACACATCTACAGGCGAATGACTGGTGGTATCTCTTGATATAAAACCCGACTTCGACTCTGTTGATCGCGCTAGCTTGTGGCACTACCTATCCATGAAGGGGGGTGCTATGTAAACGTTGCCCGTAGCCTAGTAGTAACGAGCTTGTCTCGTAATCTTGCGGCGCGCGTTTAAGCTTGCGTAGGGGCATGGCGACCTTCGCAGTGTTGTTAGCCCACGTGCGACCGGTGGTGGTTGCGCGGCTGCGAAACCTCGGTACTGCGTACCGGTGTACTTCTGAACTTAGGCTGTATAAACCCCTTTTCATTCCGGAGTCTCTCTATCGTGAATCCCGATCTTGTGTAAGGGACTGCAGAAAGCTGTTTCCTGAGTTCCCCATGACCAGTTGTTTTCCCCAGGGTTGTCTTGTATCTCATTTCCTCTTCAACTTTGTGAACGAAACGATCATGAATGACTCGTTTCTTTCGGATTCTACCGGAGTGGAAGTTATGCTACGTGACCGACTGACAAACCTGGATTATGTGGATGACATAGCTCTTCTTGAGCCTGACGCTGTGGCTATGCAAACGTTCACGGCTAGACTGTTGCGTAGCGCTGCACGCTTCGGAATGTGCTTAGCACCCTCAATACGCAAGATATTGCTGCAATACTGGACCAATACACCACCAGTTTTAGCTATCACCGAACAGTCACTGGAACTGATGGATCAGTTCACTTCTGGTGGTCACATCGCTGATGTTACTTCGCGTATCAACAAGGCCCCTTGTAGAATTTCAGTGGCTCAGTCATCTACGGATGCGGCGAGATATCAACCCTTCACTGAATGGTGGATCGTTAATGCAGTGGTAATTCCGGTGCTACTATAGGGATCAGAGACATGGTCAGTTTGCAGTGAAGACACTAAACCCTTGGCCGTGTTTGACCACTGGTGCTTGCAGAGTATTGTTCACGTCTGCTGGGAACACCGGGTGAGCGATGCTGTGGTCTAGCAGTTAGCTTTTGCCAAGAAACCTGTTGCCTCACTCCAGTGTTTGCTGAATCTTAACCGCTTACGTTGGCTAGACCATGAAATGCTTAAATCAGACTGATTCACGTCGTCTTCAAGAATGGGATCCCTGAATAGTTCACACCAATGTTTGGTGACTCAGACTTGGTAAGTCGCACAGCCAGTGACGTTCCTGCATCCAGTTTCTTGTATGTAGATGTTAATTTTCAGTGCCGTGTGATTAGTTTAACGCACTTTCTTCTTGCTTCCATTTTCTTTGCATTCTCTTCTTATGCGACCCGTTTTTCTTGCCGCTGTGAGTCGAGGCAACTAGATTCATCGGACTGTAGTTGTTCAACTGAATTGTTCTGAACTTTTATCTTTTGCAAAACATGCCATACTCCGTACTCGTCTAGTGAGGGCAAAGTTTGCGTTTGCCGTTGTCTTATCATCTGTTCCTTCCATTCCTCAACACGGATTTCTTTTAGCAACGTTGCATACGCAGTCACAACTGCATATTGTAGCTGCCTGATCTCGCTTTGAATAGGGGTCGACAGTTTGCAGCTTGTGTTTGCCAGTGTTCGGAATCTCTTATCAACCTAAAAACGAGGTTCACTCTGTAAGTGGACGACAAATAGTCGAATATATAGCCTATTTCTGAACGTATAGTTTCATTTTGAGGCCTAATTCTCAACTTAACGCTTCTCTAATTCACTAAATATGCAACGCGATTCAGCTGTTTTCTGTCAAATGCGAAATGCGGTCCTGCTTTGGTTGTTCGCATGCTTTGTACTGTAGAGAGTAAAGTTGTTCAACACCTGCGTTCCACGACCGTCTACCGGTGTGGTTTCCTTTTTGTAAACCTGGCTTGAGAAATATATGAAGTATCCAATACTTCGTACTTATGCTTCAGGAGTACTCGAATTCACGGCGTTGCAAATGATCCACTTCAACTACTGCAGTACTGATCCACCTGAATGTCTGATATTGGAACCTGCTATATTGTACCTGTGTGGATTATCTATAGACTCGGATTGATGGGCACCAGACTCTTGAAACTGCCCCAGTCAGCCCATGTTCCTTTCAGGATGGATCGAAAACAGATACTCCTTTCGTGTTTGTGTAAAGTCGAGGTCCATACCTTAGGCCGATGAATATTCTTTATTATTTCGTCCTAGAACCTGCTATCCATTTATGATCAGGGCTTTTTTCTGCCAGGTGACAACCGAGCTCTTTGGCGCACCGTGACAAAGCAATAACCTGGCATTCCATCTTCCACCGAACTGTCTACCACCATTTTCGCGTACAGGAACTATAACAGCGTCGATCTCTGGTAATCGATCGGCTCGATCACATGATTGCCGCAACCTCATTTAGAATGTCGATCTTCTGTCGACGACTAGGCGATGCAAGCCAGTATTCGGTTGCATACTCTATTTGATCCTGTACATCTCTCACGTGTATCCAGTTTGCCAGTCCCCATCACGAATGCGAACTATCTAGTTAACCATACTTAATGCCTGTTTACTAAATCACCCAATGGTTCATTTGTTCGCCGAACTTGGAGGTTTGGTTGCAAACGTTTCGTTACCATGCGAATTGACAGCGTCAGTGTATTAATATTCATGGTGCAATCTTGCTAAACTCCTTTTCATCCTGAAGTCTTTCTACCGTTACTCGCGAGACCATGTAAGGGTCTGTTGGAAAGTGTCTTCTGTGTTCCGCAGGGCAAATAGAGTTCAACAGGGTTGTCCTTTCTTAAATAGAGGACTTCGTTGTTGCTTTCTCCCATCCCTACACTCCACAACCGACGCTTTCGTCCTTGTTTGAATTCATCAGGTAGAGATAGCTTGACTTGGGACTGGAACTCGGTAGTGATGGGAGATGTCAGCACCGAAACCCTCCACTGTAGCTGGATACGGTCCTAGTGGTCGGAATTTCACCAGCTGACTTCAAAATCAAACGAAGTCACAACTGAGATTGCGTGTTGCAATCCAAGACACATGGCGTGTACTCCTTAACTCGACTACTGTTTTTTCCTATTCAACTTTCTGATCGAACGGATCATGGATGCCTCCGTACTTTTGGAATGGAAGCACTGCCAGGTGACCAAGTAACAGCAGGATTGCACCCTCCACATCACCGCACTGATGATGCGACGTCGCATGGTGGCGAGATGTTTGTAACAAATTGCAAAGCCTCGCGAGCAAATGAACGACTGAATCGTCAACCGGAGTTACCAGCATTCCTAAACTTTTTATACTTATTCGCCTATTCACACCAACAGGGTAATATCTTCAGGATTTTCATGTGTTCTTTCAACTGTACATTCGGCAATAATAGGTACGCGGGCTACAAGATCATTCGATCGAAGAGTGCATTTGTTTGCTCCTCCAACGCAGCGGTGCAATGTCTACCACGGTGAGACCTACCTAATCTAGAACCTTGTTCGACTATTGCTTGGGCGTTTCATCGATCCATTTATTGGGTGGTACTGTTGCTCACAGTACAATCTATTTGCCAGCGATTGGGTGAAGTCACTCCTTTGCTCCTGCCGTTTCGGAGTTGAACTACAGCGACCTGTTTTTTTCCAATTGGCCTATCTCTTAGACGGCTGTCTAATTACCCTACGCTTAGGTATTGCGATTATTGTTGAAGTCCGTAATCTTCTTCTTTCCCATGATTGATCATATTCGTCGTATCTCAGTCCACATACAATCATTCATCGCAACTTGGTGGGAAGTATCAGCGAAGTCCTAATGCCTTGTCGTCTTTGTTGTTACTATTAATGTTGCCGTCGCATTTTATAGCTCATGCCAACAACGCCCTTTTTATTTCTCCGGTCTGTGAGAATGGATTCGAGTCGCCTATCTGTATTACGCAGTGGTGTTCAGACTAGCTGACCACAGGATTCTGTTTGGCACCAATAGAGACTGCCTGTTACCTTTTTCTTCTAACGCTTTAGTGCCGAACAGGAATACCAAATGAGATACTAGATTGGTTTTAGACTGAACTAGGACTTTATAAATCATCTTTCCACTTCTCGGTAAATCCTTTCGCACCATCACAAATACAAGGGTAAACCAGTAGATTTCCAGATACGCAAATAGTCCTATTTTTACAACAAAATAAGCATTACATTTTCTCGTAGCACTCTCCACCGGCGTTCATGCACAGCTCCATGCGCTTAAACCATTTGGAGAAACAGCTAGACTATGCCGAAGTGAATAACCCTTCAAGCAGCTCAATAAAGTCCTGTACTGCAGCTTCTGAAAACTGGTAGCGTATTCCACACAACATGAGCTTGACATTAGGGAATACAAAAAAGTCACACAAAGCCAGATCTGGACTGTAGGGTGGGTGACCAACCTCCTGGATGCATTCGCTAGCTAACAAGCCTTCGACGACATGGGACCTGTGTGCTGATGCATTGTCATGGTGCAGCAAGGTCCCTCGTGCTCGAGTTCTTAGACGACTACAGCTGGCTACAGTTTCCGGAACTTTTGGCAGACAGTGGGTGGCGTACTAGCCTCCGGTGACTGTGCCTTGCCGTACGAGCGGTGGAGGAGCCACGTGACCGGTCTTGGCCATTAACACGGTCACCACCTGCTTGACTACAGCCCACGCCGAAATTTCTGTGGCGGCGCCCTCTATCGATGGCTATCCACTGAGCCGATTGTTGCTTGATCTCTGGGTCGAAACTGTACATCCAGATCTTATCACCACTGAGGACCTCCCAAACAGCATTAGAACATCCACCATCAAACCAGGCAAGCATGGTGCGATACCAAGTCACCCGAGCTGCTTCCTCATCTTCACAGAACTGATGGGGTACCCATCAGGTTCTCATGTAGGATGGTGCGGATTAATCCCGATGACCTTCACCAGCTCTACCACAGCCACACGCGCGTCGTCCTCCACCATCGTTTGCACAACAGCAATGTTGTCCGCGGTGGTGGCCTCCACAGGCCGACCACACCTTGTCTCAACATTCGGGGACCGCCTATCACCCTCGAATTCTGCCAATCACTCAAACTCAGTTGGTCTTGAAGACTCATCATCATCAAACGCAGCACTCAATCGCCTACTATTCTGATGCTGCTTTAAATCACATTTGTAGTTATAGAAAATCATCGCCGTCCAGTGACATCAACTGAGTTCCATACTTACAGTTAGAGTACAGCAACCACCATGATTTTGAGCTGTGTTTGGCTGCTGATTCTGTATATTGAAATCGCTAAACAATGTTCAGAATGGATTGCAGTTTACATTTTTCTTGCCAGATCATCTACATCTAATCTATGTACTGCGTATGCGGAAACTTATTGATCTAATCACGGACCACAAACCGGGCATAGTTGGGTTCTTTGATTTGCAGGACGCACTTAATTCATTTCGTCACTTTATCTTTTTCAATATAGGTAACCAGAAAGAAGGATGCGAATAGGTGACATGCCATGTCCTTAGACTCCTCAATTCGCGTCAGTCAGTATGCATGGCAAAGAATTGGGTGCCTTTCCAATAACACATAGTTTTTATCAGTCGTCCTCTTTTTTGCTGCTTACTTTTTATCTCGGAGCGCTTCTTTGCGGATTCCTCACAATTTAGGTACTACGGTACTAATCTGATGGAATTTGGTTGATTTTGACCATGCCGATGACATCATTATCATTCCGTTCTACCATCGCAATAGGGGTGCTGCTAGTAAGTGCTGGTCCGATCCACCAACACTGTTTTTAATTGACCACTAGTAGTCGCTAGCTGACATTTTGACTAAGAAAGAAAAGAAGGTGTACATCGAGGTACCATTCAAGGGTGACACCGCAGCTACCAAACGCATTGTCTCGGCTATTCAGCGTACGTAGTGTGCAGTGGAGGCGGTAATTATCAACAGAACCCGAAAGTTGCCGTGACCTTCAGGAAAGGAAGATGAACCCGTCGGCGCCAAATCACATTGTGTGTGACTGCGGCATCAGTTACATCGGCAGAACCGAAAGGGCTTTAGATTCCAGAGTGAAGGAATACTTACCAAACTGGGTTCAGCGCGAAGTTACTCAATCCATCACAGACGATAAGTGCTCGCGTAAACCGTAAGCGTCCTCCGTAGGCAGGCACATTTTGGAGACTCGTCACCGGGTCAATCCCTTATCGGCGTTCTGGATCTTGTTGCTTCATACTAATGCACGCCTTTTACGATTTGCCGAGGCCGTCGCGATAAGTCGAATTAGACCAACCTTGTGTGTTCAAAAGCAATTAGTTGTCAACGTGCGATTGCCGTGGTCCTATTCCCAACAACAATGACCACAACCATAAATTTGATTGGCTTGACTGTGCCCTATTAGACATTTCCCTGTTATTGTATTGGTACTGACGAGATAATACGAAGTGCTAGCATCTGCCAATATTCGTCTTCTCATTTCGTTGTTCAAACTACTGAAGGGAACTAACTGTTTTAAATTTTTGACTACAGACGATGAAAGTCCGTGTAGATAGCTGTTCAATCCACCTATCTTAGCATTTTTATTAACATTGACGGGCGTGTGACAGCTGAGACCAATTCAATGCTTTCACGAATGTGCGAACCCTTTTGGTTCCCAAACTGGATTCTCACTGTCCTGTTTTCAGGACAGGAGAGGTTAGTTCGGTTGGTTAGATCAACAAATCAAACTCGGATATCAAACTTTGCTTGCCTACAGGAAGTAAAGACGCTAACGATGTACTTTGCCCTATTCGCTTAAGTGTATCTGACGCACCTTGCACTTGCTTTACAGCCTGCACCAGTGGCGCATTTGCTGCCTGGTTGCTGGTTTGAAGTATGTCAGATGCTCAGTTATGTGTAGAGTAAGATGTATCATGTACTGTGTCATGGAAGCCGCAAAAAACAACCATCTCTTTGATATTGCCGCGTCTTCACTCAGTTGTTTGCTGCTTATAACTGCGTGTGTACACATTGATCACTTATTATTATTCTAGATCCTTTGTTTCTGCATACCTCTCTTTTCTGTTCTTTTTCCTTAGTACGCACCTTATGTTTATATGGAAACGAAGTATCCGTACTAACTACTGGCGCACTATCTTGGTTGTTTTTAATTGCGACCGCTGAACATTTGACAAGCTGGTGTATTGCTCCTTTTTCTACCCAGTACGTTGCAGTCAGAGGTTTCACATTGATGCGCTATACAGGTGAACATATTGCTCAGCAGGACTCTGTCATGTTCCAGTGCGATGTTTGGTCAATTTCCCCTGCTCATGATGCAAGAGGTGGTATACACCCAGTGCGTGATTTTGCCGTTTCTTCCGATTGACTTTCCGAACCATATCGTACTAGTCGAATGAATGTGAATTATCCCGCCCCAGGACATGCTGGGTTTTCGCCAAACAATTCACAAATATATGCTTAACAGCTCCGTGACCTGATTGTTGTGACTCGTCGCCAAATAATGTCGTAACTCCCTGCTTCATTGCGGTAGACCATTGGGTGCTGACCTCATGCGGCCATTTATGGGCAGTATTTTCAATTCACCATACGAAGGCGTATGTACTGAGTGACCAATCAGCGGCTCTCAATGGGCGCGCTTTCCCGTCTTCCCTCTGCCTAGTTGGGTGAATCACTTGCGCGACCAATCTCTAACGCAACATTAAATTTGATTAACGTTATCAAAAAGCTAAGCAGGGTTGATAACGACAACAACAACAACAACAACAGTACATCAATCATTTGATTTGATGGTTCGTTGCCATACAACCATAATGACCTATGAAATAAAGAATAATAAGAGGGAAAGAAACGGGGCTTACCTGAAAACCTTAATGCCCTAAACAAACTTTCAGGGTCAAGACGCCTACACTTTGTGTAGACTACATACCGTTGCAAACAGCTGGATATCATGCAAAGATAAGGCGGCATCGGCGAGACAGCTTCCTTTCGGCTTTCACTGCCTCGTGTCCTAAATCAGCACCAAACACACTAAACAGGCAATCCGATTAGAAGACGGCAGCAGACGCGCCACTGGTGTCGGTTGCGAGCCATGTCCTGCAAAGTCTCGAGCCAAGCACAAGGTGAGTCGCGTGGACTCCAGCCCGGAAGGTGAGACGGACCAACGGCAGCCAGTTTGGTCGTCAGTGCCTTCATTTCCCGCTGCCATGTCAATTTTTGTCCATCTCTAGCTTTGCGCCACCCTCCACCTGGCAGGCTAAACAAGGCTAGGCTTGGCGTGTATCGGCTATTCCAGCAGTCACACATCTTATGGACTTTGACGGAGTCATTGAAGTTTCGGTATTCATTCTCATGTTTCTTCCTCAGGGTTGTTCTATTTGGCGATGTTTAGCGTTTTCCACTCCTATTTATTTTCTATTCTGTTGATCAATATTAGCAGAGTCCAAGTTGTTGCATGGTCTATTATTTCATTGCAAACCGATACAATCTCGGTGTCGGTCACGATTTATTTTATATTATACGTGTGTCCTCTCGAATACAAAGACTCTATATGGTGCCAATAAATGTTTGCTGTCACTGGCCCCCAACACTCTAACCCACGGCTTGTTTCGTCCCTGTTCGCACCCTTCAGGGTGGAGCGGGAGCTGAGTCTGGAAACGGGATTCCTGCAACGATGCTCCACAGATTGCATCATCCATTCGCCAATCGTTGTTGGTTTCGCAGGCTCCCCGTTGTGTGTATTATTAGTTGATTACACTTAACAGCGGGTAGGCTTGACACAAGCTATGCCAACTGCGCTCCGGTAGGTAGGCTTTTATTGCATATTTATAAGTTTATAAACTTTTGCGCTACTTATAAGTAATCAATGTTATATGATATTTTCAGATGCATCCGGCAGGCAAACGTTGGCTTGCTTGATTTGTTGAATTCCTTCCCCGCTTGTCGCGTAACCCTAGCTCGTTTATTTGAGCTCCTCCCACGGCTCCGCCCTCGTTTATACAGTCTGGTTGGTTTAGATAGTGATCAGGATGAGAATGGCGAACAGATTTTGCGACTGTTATTCACCCGCATTGATGTGTCTTATGCTGACGGGTGTACCCCGATGGGGTTGCGACGGTACACCCATCGAACCCATGGAGTATGCACTGGGTGGCTCGAGCGCATGTGGCTTGGGCGGGTCACATTCCCTCCTTTTATGAACTTGTATCTGCGGCAAAATTTGACGGGATTTCGAGCCCCAGACGACGTGCGGCGACCAGTAATCATGATCGCCTCCGGTACTGGACTGGCGCCTTTTGTCGGTCTCTTACGCCGTCGCAAACAGTTGAGACAGGTGAGGCTGAGTAGTACCATGCTCTTTTAACGATTCAAAAAGTTAACTCATGATGATAACCAGTCATTCATTCTGGCATTTCTGTTTTTGCACTTTCTCACCAGAATTCAGCAGACCCCGGCAATCTGTGGCTTATCTTTGGCTGCCGCTCACCTATGACAAGTTTCCTCATGACTGCAGAATTTAACGACTTTATGGCGGAAGGTTTGTTGCATCGGTGCTGTCTATGCTTTTCTCGGTACCACGTGGATGTCACACAACCTCAATTACCGAAGAGTTTCCCGAAACATCTACGCCTGGGATCTTGCGTCCACCGCAGTACAACCGCACGATATGTGCAGCACTGCATCATACCACTGCAGGACGATACTGTCAGTGAAAGTGTCGATACACTTACAGAGGATCAAATAGAATTGGCCGAATGGATCATTAACCGAAACGCTGTTATCATGGTGTGCGGTGAAGCACGAGAAATGGCACCCGCAGTTAGGTCAGCCTGGATCACTCTGCTTACGAAATACCTCAGCCGATACAGTACACCATTATCTGCATCCAGGACTGACTTTGTCTCTGGCGATGAATATTTCAAGCGCATGTGCGAGGAAAAGCGATACTTGGAGGACATTTGGACTTGACGTTTTCTCTAACCAAACTATAGTGTGATAGATTTTCAAGCGCCATGTTCGGATTCTGGAATAAGATGCACTGAAGTTCTTTCTCCCAATCCGAACAACAACAACAACAACAACCTCCCGTTTTTGCCTTGTAATGGCATTTTGTACAGACATTCATTCTTCTCGCTTGTCGAACATTTTTCAGAATTTCTTACGCAATCACTTTTTGTATCGAAACCTTTTGAGGAAACGCCTTTCTTCGTTGAGCGGCTCTCGATACTTCCATTTTGATGTTAGCATCTCGGTATTCGAACGAATTTACCATTTACACTAAAAGATGGTCAGATTCCACCTTCAACAAGAATAGAGCCCATGTGAACAAATTACCCACCGCTAATCTAAGTAGTTTATTGCCTAAAAACTCTTACTTATTACGATCTATTAGTTAAACTGTCGGGATCGGGAACCAAACCGACAGGAGCTGCTCCGTTCTTGTTTTGATCCTCAAGGTGGCTCGCGTTCGGATTGGGCAACCATATAGGAATCAGTCTGATCTCCATAGTCTCCAAGTTACTTCCTTTTCTCATCCTTCACTGGTTAACTGGTGCCACTGAAAGCAAATTCCTGGGAAGCAAGCCGGGTTTTTTTCGAGGTCGTGTCTGCATTAATGCTCATCTTCATTCTACGTCAATATTGACAGCCCGCCGTTGTTGTGTTCTTAAAGTATCAAAGGGGCCTTCTGTTCAGTTGGCCGATGTGTTCTTTGATACTGTCTACTCAGGGAAGGTGAGCTGTGAAATACTCGACATGTTACCCGAGCGCTTTACGGGCGTAGCTCGTGCAGAAGAGACGGGTTATGGCAAACTGTCGCGGGTCCTTACGTATTTCGAGCTGTCAGAGACGAGGATTCCGGCTGTCATCTTTCCTCTTCTCCATTGGCGAAGTCATGGAAGCGATGTTCACTGGGCACCGGGACTTTCAAGTTACTGATCTGACTTTCTAGTGAGCGACTTCTTAACTTGGAGTATGGTAACGAGCATTGCCGCCTTCAGTTGTTGCGGTGTTCTCACAACTGAGCAACTTGTTTTGCACCACAACAACTGGAACAGAGCCTCCTGAGCTACCAATACTCAAAGTAAAAATTTCAGACATCTGCTCTTAGTCTGTGACAGCTCACAAACGTGCTGAGGCGTGCGCTGGGCAGATTAGCATATGGCTGTCAGCGGTTTCGGGCCTTACTTTACACCTGTTGAAGTTAAAGCTCTTCTCCATGATTGACAGGGATCCATCCTGTGCTGACCCTTTTCCGTGTCGATCAGAAATATATGTCATGGCACCTCTATGGTGCCTGTAGAAATTGAAGTCCGCGGTCACGAATCTTATAGCAAAACCCTTGGACACTTTTGCCCATCTCCGCTACCTGTGGCTTCGGCGCGATATCGCTTTCGTCCTAAAGCGCAGAGCTTACAATGCAGCTGGACGTTCGACCTTACTCTGCGGTTGTGAAACCTGCCCCATTTAGGTCGGCAGATGTAAAAGAACGTTTACGTTCGACTACCGGTACCCTTCTCGGTTTGGCTCATTGTCGGGTGGGATCAGCGCGGTGAGCAGCTGAGGCATGCTCAACTCCTAGTTCATGGCACAGAAAGAATAAGTCTACTGTTGCAGCGACCATTATATTACGCAACAGACTCAGGTATGGCTGTACTACGTGTTGCTAGCAAACCGACTCTCGCGACGCGCGCGTGTCTGCGCGCCGGGAGTGTGGTATGGAAGAGGCGAAGAGGCAAGAGATGAGTTTGGTGCAATAAAGAACGCAAGCCCTTAGTTCGAGCTTGGACTTAGTCCCTCGACTCCCTGGTTGGGACTTGAAAGACGATGAACACGTTTGGTTGGTTACACTTTTTGACGTGGCTAGGAGCCGACCTCAATGGCGTTTGTGCTGTGAGTTTCTTCCCCTTACAACCACGATCTCATTCCTGGCACAACATTTTAATGCGGCACAGTAGCCAACTGCTTGCTCTTCGGAATGCTACCCATCCGTTGCCAGGGCCTCAGCTGGCGAACCTCTCTTTCGCCATTTCTCCTTCCCCATTTCTTGCGGCGCATTAGCTGAGGTCTTTCCCACCTGTAATTAACATGTATACGGCTCTTTTAATGATGATGGACCTTACTAGCATGTATATCCATGCTTAATTGGCGGACTTAAATTTGCTATTCCTCTGTTCATCCTTTCAATGTTTTATACTTTTGCATATCTCTTCCCAACTTCCATTATTTTCAAACGGAGGCCCAAGATAATACTTATAGTTACCGTTGTCTGATTCACTCTGTTGTTGCTACCAGCCTCCTATCATTTTCGTATCCTGTCCGGTGAAATAAGACGAACTTCGAACATCATCTCCAATCTACACAGGAGATTTTGGGCGGCCTGTTGGGAATCGCGGACTACAGCGATGTCGTTTGCATACTCCAAATCCCGAAGTCGGTTCCCTGGAAGTAGATCAACACCGTTAGGTTCGCATTCTCCAGAGTACCTTCAGATTTTGTGCAAAGCGAAGTTGAACAATAAGGAGGTGTTGAGCAAACCTGCTTCATGTCACTGGTGATGCACAATTTAAATGACAAGCAAATGCTTCCCATCAACGATGGATAAGAGTAACCAAGCAGATTTAATAGTAGGACACATAAGTGGAAGTGTGAATTCATAGACAAGGTTTTGCGAATAGTAAACAATGCAACCACCCCCCTCTACGTTGCTGTCCATCACTACTAATAAACTTGTAACCATCAATGAAAAGCTGATGATTAGACATATACCATATTACCAGGTTTCCGGGAACAAAAGTAGATCAAGTTTATTCAAGTAAATGAGGCTTATTCACCAGAGAACGGATCTTGGTTATCATCAGTCTTAAAGCGTTTTGTCGCTCTTCATTATTGTAACTAGTGTTCATATATATAAAACTCATTGGCAATATAAATTATCGCCAAGGTTATGATCTAACAATCCCTTTTTATTTACACTTAAAAAGCAGTGTAACCCTAAACAAAACAACCATAGCTATCACATACTTTGACAACACTCAACGTCACAACCTGTCTCGTGCCTATATGAGCTGTTCGGTTAAACATAACATAACTGTTACTTGACTCTGGGGCGTAAAGTTTGTTGCTTGACGCTCTTACTCCCACACTCTGATAAATACCAGAGAGACGACACATAAAAAGACTACGGCGATGCGGCTATAGTGCGCTGTATATTGGCTGCATTAGAGCGTGTTTTTGTGCAATTTATTTACGTGTGATGTAGTGCCCTTCGAGGCGGTGTTGTCACACAGACAAGATGTGCGATGACATCCCGCATGTAGCTTTGGGGGAGTTAGTCTGCATAAGAACTAAATGCGCACACCAGATTCACGTATTTCTTTGGCGTCAACATTTCGGTGAGCTGATTTATGCGGCTACCTGGAGCACACAATGTATTCTGCACCCCTGAAGTTTGCGAATTTGCATCACACATTAGATGCCTAAACCTAGTGAGAACACAGTTTAGCGGCAAAACTTGAGCAGGGTTGCCATGAATGTGAGGAAAATTGATGATTCTTAAAGATCCGAATTTCCAGCGATGGTGAAACATGTTTTCCACGATAGACATGGAAAATTCCACGGAATTTCTGCGGTGCAAACATTTAATTCCGCGATTTCACCGCAAAAACGAAAATAAACCTAGATCAAGACATCTTCATCTACTATATACATGTCAGTCATGATTCAAAACAGAGGAATTAAATTAAATCCAAACAAGGCGTTTCGTGCTATTTTCTGAAAGGTTGTGACGCTTGTCAGATACAACATTTTTGTAGGCACTAAACCTCCGTTCAGAGTCTACCGAATTCACGACAGTACATAGTTAACGCCGATGAGGCTTGCCAGTTATGGAGTTCTTTCATGTATCCCACACCAGAAGGCCAGCGTGTCTTCACATATATCTCCTTGAAGTATTTTCAACACTTTGCGAGATAGTAACCACTCGGCTGCCAGAGCTGCACAACTAACCAGGCCTGGAACATCGGCATATTTGCATGGATCACTGGTCAAGGTGATGAGCTGGTTTGGGTCGAGCCGTCTAATAGCTTAAAAAAACGGCCCGCTAGCCTGTGATGTCAGTAACTTTTGGCCATTTATGGCTGTTTGGGATACGCAGAGTTGCATGTCAGTTTGGATTTTCCTGGACACATCAAAGGTGAGTCCCATTGCCTGCAAATGTTAAAGCCAGTGTTCTTCAGCGGCAGTTTTCAGCAACATGGATGGCTCGGAGAGGTCGCTGTAAATCTTATGGGTTATCGGAGACTGTGATTCGGTCGTTTTGAGGTGACGGATGATGGTCTTCCCAAAAGTCGTAATGCAACGCAGTTGCCATCTCAAAGCTTTCTGCATTATTTCCTGGGTTAGGGTATACACTAGTCCACAAACAGCAGCTGAGCCTCCAAACTTGTGTTATACAGCTTGTAACATAGCTGGGTAATGATGGAAATACTTGCTGTGATGTGCGACAGTTTTCATCTAGGAGTTCGAACAGGTGATGACCGGTTCAGGTGGGCCAGTTGGGTTATCCACAGACTCCAGTTGCATGTAGCCACGTCTCTTAATTATCCAAAGACAAAAAACATTTCAATTTTTTTTACAACGAATTCGTCCACTTCAGGAGAGAATATGCGAATGGTCTTTTCAATCAAGTTGATGCAATGGGTAACACATCTTATGTCAAATGAATCCTCACGAACTGGAATCTCGGTAACATGCTGTCATATATCTAGCGCCATCGGACACACAGGCCGTCACACGACCGAACTCAATACCCATCATTGTCAAGCTGCGCAGAATGGCTGCTTCAACTGTGGCAAAAAATACTCTCTCCATATTGCCCGTGTTGATGAGGTACACTGGGAGACGGTGTTTATTGGAATTCAATGCTGCGCATAACAGGATGTGTGGTTCCATTTTCGCGCGATCAGCAGTTGTTTCGTCTGTTATATTGCCGACAAAAGCTCGGATGCGCAAAACATGCAAAGGTGTTGAGAATCGCAATCAACACTTTTGCCTTCGTCGCAGAGCGCTCGGTCGGTTTGAACCCTCAATCGTTCCTCAATTGCTTAACGCCTAACTGAGACGGCAC